CATTCCGCACATTCTTTCGACAGCATAAAAGCAACCTACAATTTCGAAAAGACTGTTGTGGTTTTTAGACGTAAAACGAAAAACTACATATATATATATATATATATATATATATATATATATATATATATATATATATATATATATATATATATATATATATATATAATATATATATATAAAATATTTAACACTTGATATTCATTAAGAACAATAATTGACAAATTATGAGGTGAACTAGGTAAAGAGAGAATATCCGCAGTATCAGCATTAGGCATAATTGTTTGGCCAACAAAATAATCATTAAAAAAAACCTGAGCCTTGTGTTGCGAATCTGAAATGGCGATATTGTTGTCAATTAAATCAGGTAACGAAGAACAGCACTTGTTACCGTACAAAGATTTTGAAATGCCCCACCACTTTTTGGTTGATAAAGTATTTATTTTACGTCGGTGTTCCATTTTTGCTCTCCTAATTAATTTAACAACGAGATTTTGTTGAATGCGGTAACGTTCCCAAGACAACACACTTTTAATGTTTGAAAAACGTTTAAAAAGGCGATCACGTCTTCGAATAGCTTGGCGAATTGAGCCATATTCATCCAGGACTTGTCTTTCGGCCGAACAGTAATTTCCCTGGAGGGAATATAGGCATCAAGAATTGATTTAAATAAATAAATTAAACCATTTATTGTAAACAACGTCAATAGAATCTGACGGATTAGAAAAAACATCGCCCCGATTGGCATTTAATAGTGCCGCATTCAGAGCATTAACATTCGCATTTTTATAGTTACGAACAGTTCTTGATATTTTGACAGCGGCTTTGTTGGAGAAATACTGAAGAATAAGACAGCCCCTTTCATAATTTTACTTCATAATGTAAAAGCATCTATGTCTATAAATGAAGAAAAAGACCTTTGGGTTGCAACACAACCTGATGGTAAAGTTTTTACTGCTTGGTGCTCTTGTATGGCAGGTGCCAGTGGATGTTGCAGTCATATAATAGCAACTTTGTACAAAGTAGAATATGCTAACTCTCAAGGATTTTGTTCTCCTGCTTGCACCTCTATTCCCTGTGGATGGAATAAGTCAACAAAAACTATTATTGAACATAAAAAGATTGCTGATATTGTTGTCAGAAAAAAACTAAGGTCAAAACAAGCTATCAGTTCAAATAGGGAAGAAGTTAGGATGGCTGAAACCTTGTAGCAACTTGACAAAATAACAACATTGTTACAACTTGTTGACAAGCTTGCTACAAGCCTATTGCAAACACATCTTGTTGACAGGTTGTGAGATTTTTAAGTGCGTAATCTATTCGTCCCGAAAAATGGCCGCCAGCAGGAGTTTGAGCCCGCAAATTCCTGGTGTGACACTAATCCTTTAAAGTCCAGGTATTCTTGTTCATTTTGAGTTTTTAGTCCTTGTTTGAACTATGCCAAAAGAACTGTTCGTCGAAATGATCGTTGTTTTCTTGAAGAGATATTCAAGTTAGCATAAACCAGCATAAACGATATTGTGATCACAATTGGAAGGAGGACTCAAAGTTCCAGTAGAAATGAAATAGCCAGGAGAATCAGCAATGATTTAATCAAGAATAATTTCCCCGGTTAATGTAACACGAGTAGGTTCTTCAATTAACTGAAATAAGTTATTACCTTCCAAAAAATCATATAGCTTGACACCGACATCAGTATTAAATGACGAGACACCGGCGAAATAAAAATGGGAATTAAAGTCACCTAAAATTATGATAGTGGAAAATTATTTGACATATTAATAGAGTCGAAAGTGGCCTGTAAATAAATTAGAAATAAATCTAATTGATCAGAGGTTTGACTAGGAGGCCTATAACACACTCCGCAAAGTATTTTCACTCGATTGACAGCTATTTCAGCCCATAACAACTCGGTAAATGGGGACTCCAAATCAAGTCGTCTGACGAACGGCAAGTGATCCGCGACGTACAAAGAAACACCTTTCACCTCGAGATGGCACTAAAACCTGACATTAAGATTGACTCGTTTGAGATAGTGAAGTTTAGCCAAGTTTCAAAGAAAGCAAGCAAGTGAAATTTATGTAGTTCAGCAATTGCAGAGATTTCGCTAAATGTATCAACAATATTTAAGCTTCTTGCGTTTAAATGTGCTAAATATTCGTGGGCCGGGATTTGGATGCACCGAACCCGATAATAAAAGTAACATGATAAGCCCAAATAGAAGTATAAATAGTATAACAAGATTAATAATTGCAAGGAACAAAGGTATGCCATAAGCTTAACAGTAACATAAGAAATACAACAATTATGCAGACCGATAGCTGCTCGATATACTTCTAAACTATAACCCGATATATAAATGCTCACCTCATGCTTCTCACCTGGAATACTTATAGACATACAAACATAAAGAAATAGAGAAAGAAAACTGATTATATAGAGTAATGTTAGTTTAAGGAACAAAATATATTAGATATCGTCACCGTGGGAAATAGCGTACGTTACCGATAAAGAATCAACCATTTCTCTGGCTGAAGCTAGGGCCAAAATGTCATCGGGGCAACGAACCAGATGAAAGATCATCTTCGAGCGCTTTTAGAATAGAATTAAGTTCGCTTTTAATCAGTTGTTTCACCTGATTTGATATAGCACTTTTCATCTCTTCGCTGTTCATCGCCTTGAAAATTTCATCTTCACTCAATGTACTAATGTTAGTCATTCTTGAAGTCAGCGTCCAGTGAAGCTTTATGTGACCTCCTAACAGACATGGCGGCGAATATATGTGAAAACAACTTTAGTCTTCGCCTTGACCAGTCAATAAACACGAATAGCAACAGCTGCAATCAACCGGTACGACAGCATTTTACATTAGTTTCAAAAGACCGAAAGATTGACAAATGTAAGAACAAAATGTACGAAAATATGAAGATAAGCAGCGTGCACCAAAACTTAGGTGCGTACTCGTCAAGCTGTGAAATAATAATAATGATTATTAATTATTAATAATAATTATTAATCATAATTATTTTAAGTTCATTGCATGTTTGCATGGCGATAAGATATATAATAGTTTTGTTTGTGGAAACACCACGTAATAAATTTACGTGGTGTTTCCACAAAGAAAACTATATAATTATTTTGTTATATATGGTACATTTATAGTCACATCATTTAGATTTTAGAATTATTATGTTACGTTAAAATTTTGTTATATGGTGCATTAGTCACAGAACATTTTATTATTATAGGATTGCTTCATAAGTTGAGTTAAAGTTAATAAGATGTATTTACAGATTGTATGTCTTTTTTCATTTTTATATAGAGCATACATTAATACATGCATGATACATTAATAAATGCCCATTTTGTAACTCTTTTCATGGGCGTACCGGGGGGTACCTTGAACTTATTAAGATATTTATGTCACAAAATTTATTTAGATATTTTGTCGCTAAATCTGATTGGCTAACGTAAGACAAAGGGGATGGAATCGGTTGTGCTCGGGTGAGCAGCCGCTTAATTGTGGGGAGAAACCTCGACACAAAAAGCGGTTGCGAAGGAGACTACTATATATAGCCAGCATTTCACTAAATAGCTGGCTGTATCAGCCAGCAGTTTACTAAATAGCCGGCTGTATAGTCACTTTAAAAATATCGAAATGTTTACTCAATAATTGTGCATGAAATTTTTTTCATAGGAACGGTGCAATTTCTTTGTGCAGTACATGTACGCCTAGCCTACCTATTTTTCACTTTGTTTTGAAAATAAACACCCCAAAAATGGTGAATTTGGCCTTCCTGACAAAGGCTAATTCAATTAATTATTAAATAATTTTGGCATTTATAATACTGGCCAAAACCGTTATCATACTATATAATTAAAAATTTTCTCAAACTAAACATCAGCCGGCTGTGCAAATGGCATATTTTAATCACAATTAGACCATGTAATTTAATGCGCAGTCGAAACTCCGAACCGACCATTGTTCTTGCTGGCGGTAGCGCCATGGCAGCGCATCGACTGATTAATCTTTCAATCACATGAGTAAATACTGCGGAATACCATTGACTTGTCTAAAAAGTCGTAGTTTAGATTTGTTCTATATTATGCTTTGTTCTATATTCGACCACATATGGTTAATTAACTTTAAATGTTAATAAGTCAATTAACATGAGGTAAATGCCCTCAGTGGGAGAGTTGAAACATCTGCACAATATGTTGACGATGCACATCTGTAAGTAAGCTAGGCAGTGTCAGAGAAACCAAGCATTGACCATTGTATTGTTGAAGTAGGAATGACACTTGAGTATATACAGCAGCGATTGCGAAGGTATAGTACTTCTGTTTCTCCAAAGAAACTTATGTTTCCATCTCTGTCGTTACAGGTTTCTTGTAAGGACACTGATCGATCTTTTGTGGAGAATTAACAATGTAATAATATTCTACAAAATTCCGTGATATTCCGGCATATTCCGTGATATTCCGGCATTTCCGGGTTTTCACAACGCCATATATGTATCGACAGTCACCTTTGGTTCATTTTCTTGCATAATACTACTTCTTGCACATGTAGACTGTAATTATTTCTAGTTTTTAAGATTTCACATTCATTATTCCGCTTGCATGCATTTTCGCAGCAAAGGCATCGAAATCGCGCCTCGTCGCTTCCATTTTGAGTTTTTGACAACCCTTACCTTCGGAATACTTGACACCGCGTTTACAAGGTAAATTTCAGCAAGGATGACGCATGACACGAGCGCTGCCTGCATTCACTATACTTCGTGTTAAAACTGCTTAGGAAATAAAGGCGAGTGCTGATGCATGCACTTCTTCCAAGGGTCAGTTGAGTAAGTTTCTTGACGTGGTTAAATGTTTCCGTATAGCCTATACGTTTTCATGCTTTAGCGGGGATGATTCTGAATTCAAAGCTACTCTGTACTTGATGAAGAACTATTTTATTACTCAGTCGTAGTGATAAAAAATGCTTTTTTCTATCATAGGTTAGACCGCCGGTGAAGTATTTTTCACCGCAGAAATCTTTGACGCTTGGGAAAGGTTCAATGGGTACATCTGTTCATGTTGGTATTATGGAAGATGGTGCTGAAGTGGCTGTAAAGAGGATCTTGAAACACGAGCTTGAAGATACAGCTCAAAATGAGCTAGAAATTTTGAGTCGAATTGATGCAAGCAAGTCACCATTTATAGTAAGCTATCGAAAATGTTCAGTTCTTACACATGCGAAAGGAACCCGAGACTGGATGCCCGCCGAAGTAATTGAAGTAATAGGTAAAGAAGAGGTAGGACGCTTTAAAAAGAAATCTGATGTTCAGGTCGCAGGCATGATCGCTTTCTTCATTTCAACCAAAGGTGAGCATCCTTTTGGTCCTGTGCTTGAACGAATGATAAACATTTCGAAAGGAAACCCTGTTAACTTGGACATGCTCCACGATCCTCAAGTTCGGCAATTTATTTCTTGGTTGATCAGTCATAACATTGATGGTAGACCTTATGCTCAAGAGGCGTTGGCGGATCCCTTCATGGTCCATGTACCAAATTCTCTCAGGAAAATTATATTACAACGATCCTGTATATAGATTGTTGTAATATGATTTTCCCATTGCTAACTGTTGCAATGTAAAATTATTCTCACATAAAACTTTACTTGAATCTCAAATTCAATATATGAAAGCTGTGAATTTAATAACTAATAATAATAGAACACTTTCTTTAAGTAGGGTAACTAGAATTACATAAGTAATTTTCATCTAGGCCCAATAAACTATACTTCAAGAATATTAATATACAATAGTATATACTATAAATAGGTAATTAGTAAATTCTATTAATGTTATAAGACATCCGATCCGTCTTTAAGTTTTAAAAATGCCATTTCTAAGTACATATTACGCAAGGAGGAAACACGTTAGGCATTTCTAATATTAGATTCAAGGGCATTCCAATCTGTGCTAAAAATGCGAACCTGCGCTGGGCTTATTTTTCTTTACCATAGGTAATTGCAAACTATATTTTGCTCACCCAGTGTCTTGAAACTATATGCTAAAGGGTTTAATTAAGTTAATAAAATATGATGGAGATAAATTATGCAAAGCTTAATAGACAGTCACTGCACAAACATAATTCGATGGTAGATTGGTAGCCAACCCAGTTGTACGACAACGGTAACGATGGAACTTTACTATCGGTGTCTAGGATCAGTCGTGCTGCCCTTTTTGCAGACGATATATATCCTATCCAGATTTTGAGGCGATGTATTACCCCAAGCTACACAACAATAGTCCATTTATCATAAGAACAAACAGCTATACAAAGCAACACGAGTCTTATATGGAAGGTAATGTCTAATGCGTCTAAGTATACCAAGTTTCTGTGAATATACCAAGTTTCCAACTATAAAGTTTGATCAATATATCAAGTTTGATCAAAGTTACGCAAATGTTTTCTTGAAGTGTGGAAAGTTTCCGAGCAGAAGCTATTACTATCAATTTAGTCTTTTTCTCATTTAAAACCATTTAGTTCATCTCACTCCATTGAGCAATTGGGTGAATATCTCAACCGAACTTCACTTCAACATTCTGTAAGGAACTATCACAAACATATTGTGTGGCATCGTCCGCATAGAGATCACTTTCCGTTTCGGAAAGATATAAAGGAAGATCATTCATGTACAGGATAAATAGTAGGGGCCAAGTTTCGAACCCTAAGGCGCTCCGGATTTTATATTTCCCGTGATGGAAAACTGGTTGTCAATAACAACTTAAAATTGCCTATCACTGAGGTATGGGAGCGAAACCAGGTCACTGTATCTTCGTTAAGACCATATAGTTGCAATTCCTCTAGAAACGTGGTATATTCAACAAGATCAAAAGCCTTTCGTAGATCGATCAAGGAAATATTTGTCCTTGGTCCATGCTTTGGAGTAGATAATCAGTTATTTTGAGTAATAGTGATTGACATGATGATGTTTACGAAAGCCATATTGTTTGGAAGAAATCAAGTCATATAGTTAAACAGATAATTATAAAGTTCATCAAACACGTGTCTTTCAAGAATTTTAGATAATAAAGGCAGCACGAAAATGGAAAGACAACAATTCATGTCCGTGTGATCTCCACCTTTACAGATCGGGGTAACTCTGGCGAACTTCCAGCGTTTAGGCGTTGTCGAACGAGTTAAATTCAAGTTCAAAATTCTTGCAACATAAGGTGCAATGTCTGAGGCAGCACAACTGAGAAGTTTGGCTCTAAGATTGTCTACACCTATAGCAGTATATGCCTTCAAATTTAGCAACTGACTCTTAACAAAATTCTCCGTAATCATGCATATAAGAATACCAAACTGAGTATCCCATGGGCGTCTGCGTGTTCCAACAAATTCTCTCAACTTGCTAAAATTGGACTAACTGACAGTACCTTCAATCGAAAAACATTAGCAACATTGGAAAAATAGTTGAAAAAAGATTCATCGAATCATATGCAAGTCCTTCCCCGTTAACTTTTATCAATCTAGGTGCCGCTGATTTTTTATAACGCTTCAAGATATTGTTGATAGACTTCCACATTTTACCAGGCTGCCCTTCATTTTCTCCAATAGAAGCCCTGTAAATATCACGTTTATTTCTATTTATTTCCTTATACTACTACAGAAAGACTGTTGATAAGTCAAAATTGCCCAATAAAAATCTTTTTGTTATACCCTAGAAACAGTGCCGGATGATGGTAATGGGCAAAAGGGGCATTTGCCCAGGCCCTAAACTAGATTTCCACCCTTTCAAACCAAGTTTTCCTTCAATAGTTTATATAATGTGATCATTGAATAATTAAACTCATTGGTTAAAGCAACCTCACTTACCTCTGTGTTTACAGTAACAGATATAGTGCAATGTAATATTGGAACATCTTCACCGCTCAATTTTTATATAAAATATTCCAACCATATAGGCATACGGTCACTTAAACAATACTAAATGAAACATTTTGTAAGCGGAGGAACTGCAATATGAGTCTTATATGTCCGATCTTGCCGGAGAAATTGTACTTTTTCTCAGCCACGGACGAATTCGCATTTTGTGACCGGCTCTTAAAACATTTTTGCCCGCGGAAAGGTTAATCCGGCACTAGTCTAGAAGATTGTACCCCGAAGTATGTCGTGAAGCTTTTTTATGAGTGACACATGCATGCTTTTTTAATAATATCGATTGTCTATTCATAATTATGGGATGTTGAAAGTTTGTAGTACATAGTACATTTATAGCCACAACATTTAGAATTATATGTTACGTTAGAATTTTGTTATATGGTGCATTAGTCACATGATATCTTAGAATTATATAGAATTGCTTCCTAAGTTGAGTTAAACCTAATAAAATTTCTTTACAGATCGTATGTTTTTTTTTTCATTTAGTATACATATAATTATCTTATTAAATGTGGGTACAATATTTACCTCGGCAATTTTGTACCCAATTCATATATAACTCTTGTTCTGTCTGTTTTTATTATAAAAAAATGGTGGCTTTCTGCCATTTGATTGTGGTAGAGAAGTGACTGCAATCTGAACATTCTTTATCATACCATCAAATATAAACAAAGTGTCTATTTAGCCGTCAGGCGGGTATTTAGGAACTGCCGGCTATATAGTGTCGTAGTTAAACATAAAAACTTGTGCTAGCTTTTACCGAACTTGTCGTTAGCGCGTAAAGGCGCTGCGTTCGGAAAGTGACACCCAGTCCGGGTCGAGCGGGTTGTATTCTGTCTGACTGTTTAGTTATCTGTCCTTGCATGACAAAATTTTAAACTTTTCCCCCGCATTTTCTAACTCTCAAAAGGTTAGAGTTAGAGAAGGGTTTGGGATCGGTTTATCGTATAAAAATTCAACTTTAACTATAGTCACTACATAGCCAGCAGTTTAATAAATAGCCGGCTGAATGCTGGCTGTGTAGTCACTTCGAAATATAAATGTTTACTCGATAATTGTAAATGAAATTGTTTTCATAGCAACATGCAATTCCTTTGCGCAGATACATGCATGTGCGCCTAGGGTACCTATTTTTATGCATGTTTCCATATGGTTGTAACTACCGTACGTGACATTGTCGTAAGTTCGTACCCAGGTATCCCCCAAGGGGATCTTTGCCGCGCCCCCTGATTGTCGCAAAATTGTCGCCACACTGTAGTTTTTCTGTTTGCTTTAAAACATAACCGTCACAACACGTTTTTAGCCTGTCGCAACTGTTATCGTGTAGAACTCAAGTCTATCTCGACGACACTGTTGTAACTGTCGTGAACGTGTACTGTTGTCAGCGTGTCGCGACATAACTTTTCTTTATGTTTCCATTTGTTCCCTGACACTACTCTGACGAGAGTTACAACATGTTCGCGACAGTTACGACCATATGGAAACCAGGATTAATCGGGTTATAATACTTTTACGTTGACTACTTTAGCGTTACGCAGACACAAATTACCGCTTAGCTCAAATACAACAACTGGTGACCAAGTGATGCTATAGAGTTATAGTATACCATGATAGAATATCCCTTTCGATAGTGTTACCCACAACCTCGTGTAAACAGAGGTATTTTGAACAGAGCTCGTCCATAGGGGGAGGGGGTAATAAATGGCAGGCCTTAATGGCAGGGGGACCAAGGTTCGATGCCTGGGGAACCCCACAACATATTTTCCTGGTGGACGATGTTGCACTGTTCACCCTGCAGTATTGCGTTCTGTTATGCAAATAAGATTTAAACCAATCTAAGGCCCTATTTTGGATTCCATAGATAGATAATTTACTTAGGCGAATTCCGTAATCAACCGTATCAAATGCTTTACATAAGTCCAGAAAAAGTACTCCGTTTATCATCTTAACATGGATGCTGGGATGATAAACGGAGTACTTTTTCTCGACTTATGTAAAGCATTTGATACTGTTGATCACGGAATTCTTCTAAGTAAATTATCTATCTATGGAATCCAAAATAAGGCCTTAGATTGGTTTAAATCTTATTTGCATAACAGAACGCAATACTGCAGGGTGAACAGTGCAACATCGTCCACCAGGAAAATACGTTGTGGGGTTCCCCATGGATCAAACCTTGGTCCCCTTTTGTTTTTATTAGGCCTACTTTGGGGCCCAAGGTCGCCTAATGTCGCCTAATTTCGCCTAATGTTGCCTAATTTCGCCCACTTTCGCCCATGTGCACCTGATTTTTGAACTTTGCCTGACAGTCTATTCGCTTAATGTCGCCTAATTTCGCTTAATTTCGCCTAATGTCGCATAATCTTGCACAAGCATGCCCAATTTTGCACTTTGAGTTTGTCGTCCATACTAGTCTATTCCTTATTTATTTGTTAGTTTCCTGCATGTTTTTTTCATAAATACATGTACACAAACACCAAGGGCATGTGCTGTTAGGGCACCATCTCTCAC